TTTTTGGAACATGAGTGAATAGGGGTGAGCTGTGCATGGATAAAGATAAGCTGGAAATTTAGAGAATGTTCTTAAACATCAGAGGAATGAATTTGGGGAATTAATTCTGTTAGAAGACAGTTAGCAAGCAACAAGAAATGTCCAATTTTGGGGAAAAAACAGCAACAACTTTCTCTTTTCAAGCCATTTTCTTATTTGGAGGTGTGACTCCTGCCTTGGGTCACTAGCCCTGAAGAAATCAGTACTGCTGTTCTGGGCAGTGGGCAAGGCTCGCTGGGACAGGGTCATCGTGGGGGGCTGGTGAATCCTGCTGTTGCGAACGTGTCTGTGGCCGACGTAACCCCACAGACTCCTGTGCCTCTGCCCGCAGATCCTCTCGGAAGGCAGGCTCAGTGGGGATCGGTTAGCGACCCCCTGGAGAAATGTGAGGACTGAGGGCAGGCATTGCCGCTATGCTAACATGTGCTTTTATCAATCTGCTTGGATTCTTGACCCCTCATTCAAAAGCTCCCATATTTGTTCCCACCGAATAGAAAAGTTGTCAAGCACATGTTTGTAATGATTAGCCTGTATTGATCTCTGTGTGTCTGAGAGAGAGATGTTGTTTGACCTTGAAGGGCAGGGCTTGCAGGGATGGCAAATTATTTTGGTTTTCCTTCCTGAGGATTTTTATAAAGTTTCCAGCATCTCCTGCTTTCCTGTTGGCCTCTGTGTTCTGGTCCCCCTTGCTCTAGTTGAGCAGGACCGTGCTCTTGGTTCAGCTGTGACCAACATCCCTCTCTCCGGCATTGCTGAAACGGCCTCAGTGGTGATGGATAAGGTTGCCGTGTCTTGGGGATTCGGATTTCTGCCACGAGCAATGGGCAAGCAAGGTGGGAAGGCACTGAGCTGCTCCCACCTTGCTCATGAGTGGTCCAGCACATGGGAAAGAGTGAAGATGTCTCTCCTTCCTGTGGCCATGCTACAAATGGGGTCTTGGTGAGCCAGAAGCTGTAGCCTAGGCATGTTCGTGCTGTTTGCACCAGCAGATAGCAAGGCACAGGTTGTCCACTGTGGCAATGAGCTTGCTGTTGCTCATACCACCTTCTGTTTGCTTGAGAGGCATGGACACACTGAAGGTAATGAGGGCTAGGTCAAAATATCCATCCTTTAGGAGGAGGCAGCAGGCAGCTCCCTGTGCAGGGTTATAGCTGTGAGCTGTGGTGGAGAGGCAGCAGCCCTGGGGCTGTCTGGCTGCTGCGAGGGTGGTCAGATTGTGCACCATGCCTGACGGTGAGGGGTGGTTAAAGACCTGTTCCTGCCCGGTGCTTGGTGTCAGAGCTACAGCCCAGGCAGCTGGGTGGAATCTGGGGCTGAGCTGTTTCCAGTTCACAGATCACCGGAGCAGATTTGCAGTGAATAGGTGGGAGGCTTGGGTTGCTGGTGGATGATTTTGCTGTACAACTGCAGTAAAAGTGGAAAGGTTTCTTCGTTCTTGTATGTGGGGGCGTGCTTACCTTAGCAGCCAATTCCTGCATGGTACGTGAAGGAAGGAGCCCGAGGCCAAGACAAAAATGTGTTGGGCTTTTTTCTACCTAGATGATCTATTTGCGTCCTGGTTGTTGTCAGCAAGCGCTGTTGTACACACACGGCTCGTGTCCAGTGTGAGTGCAGCACATGGGGCTCCCCTGAAGTGGTGAGCTCTGCTGCAGCCCAGCACGGGGAACAGGATGCGCCTCCTTACTGGAATTCATGGGTGGAAGAATGTGTTGTGCATTGAGTTCTCACACCCTTGGAGCAAGGGGGAAGGAGGCGAGATGGCAAAAACCCTGCCCGACACCCAGGATGCCTGTGAGTAATGAGACTGACATTACTTGATAAGCAATTATCTCCTGCGAAGCTGCACCCCGCAGTGCTGGGGAGTGTGGGAAGCATCTATCCCTACCTCTCCATGCCACGCATGACAGGGACCCCTGTTACTGTAGGGGCAGGCATGTTCTGGCACCTCCATCTCCCTCACCTTGCTTCTCTAAGGAGCGCAGTCACCAGCCTGCAGTATCGCTGCTCCCCTCCTTGCATGAGACTGTGGAGTCAGCCATGCTCCCCTTCTCGCACCGACTCATCTCTGTGATCAAAGAGAAGTCATCTCCTAGAAGACAGTCCCCAAGAAAGAGCTTTCTTCTTCCCCATTAGCGCCTGTAATCTCTTACTTACCTACGAAGCTTTGGGACAGCACATCAGTTTTTTCCGCTGTTGCTAAGAGGGGCAGATCCTGGGAGGGAGATGCAGCAAAGGTGTGCTTGCTGCAGAGGTGCAAGGCCACGTGAGCTTGGGGTGGGAGGAACATGCTGAATGTCTTTTGGGGAGGAGGATACAAATGTTTATGTTGGGAACAGATATGTAAATGGGAGTGTTTCTCAGGGAGCCCCTTTTCTGCTGCATTGCTCTGTCTGATTTTTAACAAAACAGCCCCCTGACTCCATCTGCTCTGGTGTGCGTGTCTGCTACACAAGGCAGGCATTGCTGCTGTCAGTGAATTGGTTAATGCCAGTGTCCTGTGGCAGGGACAGGGTTGCAGGCAAGCACTCAGCCTGCCAGCATTTATACCTCCTGGCGTCAGCATTGGCAATGCTCGTGGAGGACTGGGGAGGGCACCGAAATAGTTTCCATTCTTCTCTCTCCTGTGGGAACGAGTCTCCTGGGTAACAAACGCTCCTTGTTCTGCACAGAGCTCCACAGCTGAGACTCTCTGTCTCCTTCCTCACTGCTGCTCCCCGACTGTCCCAGCTGAAGAGGCCAGAGAAGTCTGCTTGAGCCTGCTTTAATTAATGCTGACAATACAATGGGACTGGCCATATGGGGGTCTAGGGGCTGCAGGCTAATGGGAGTACAGTAAATAGTCTCATTTACTGCTGCTTGGGTGGAGCAGAGCCCGCCAGGACTAGCTCTCTGCTTGCTGTGATGGCCAGGCGTGGAGGTACGTCCCTCGCTCCTGCGTCCTCCCTGGGGCTTGTCCCTGCTGCTTGAACGGGACAAGGTGGTGATGCGGGTCCCAAGCATGCAAGGAAAGGCAAGCGGTGGGCTGGGGAGTGTGAAGTACCACAGATGGGGCAGATGCATTGGCCTCTCGGGAAGGACCTGCGGAGCCTGAGCTTTGGGATGGGCTGAGGGATTGTTCCCAGTGTTTCAGAGGTGAGTAGCAGAGCCGCATCTGTGATGCTGGCACCAGTGCATTGCGAACGGGCTGCACAGCCCAGAGCCAGCCCAAGGCCCTTTCTCTTGTCTCGCTGGAAGGGTCTCTCTGCATCGGGGGGAGTCCTGCACTCCTGCCTCTGGAGCCCTTTGTGGGAGCCACCCACCAAGCCACTGGCTTTTCAGTCAGAAATCTCATTTGAATGTTACCTGAAGAGATATTTGAAAGGTTTCTAGTAGTCTGGGGTCTGAGAGAATTGGCAGCCGCTTCCAGTAATGAGTCTAACATTTTTCTGGCATAGCTTTTTATGTTGGCCTCTCCAGAGGCAGAAGCTTCTGCAAAGTCTTGTATTGTCCGGGCTGTTGTATTTGTTTTATTTGGTTGCTGCTTTGGGTGCATCATGGCAGAGAGCAAAAAGTACTCAGGCATATGACAGTTCTTCATTTCTTTGAACTGTGTGTCTGTGTGACATTTTTACCTCTTCTCTGACTTACCTGCTTCCCTCAGTTTAGGAGATGGGGTTTGGTTCGGGCTCATTGGGGTTGCTTTTTTCCAATGTGGACACTCCGTTTTCTGAGCTCTGCTTGGCTCAGCGCAGGGTGGTGGCTGTAGGAGTGGGGCTAAATGGCAAAGTGCAGTAATGTGAGTGGTCCTTCCAGGATGGATGTCTCAGGGCAGCTGCTCCAGCGCTAGAAACGTCCCTCCTGGCACAGCCTGGAGCACAGCTGAGTTTCTGGGGTGTGTGGTCATGCCCAGACTGTGGTAGAAAAACAAAAGTAGCCACATGAGTCCCTTGGTGAAGCTACCTGTGCCCTGTCAGGAACTGCACTGACTTGCCTATGGAGCAGGTTGCAGCTGCTTCTGGTAAAAGGGGGTGATGGCAAAATCCTTTCATATGGCCCCAGGATAGCAAGAGAGCCTGGGCTTTTGCAGGTGGTGATCCCTTGTTTCAGGAAGGAAGATCTGCCGTGGATTGCTATGCAGAGGTGCCAGGATTTAGCCCAGGTTACGGGCAGCACTTTAATCACAAGCTGTAGTTAATAGTTGCTGGGATCTTGATTTGAGATTCCCTGTGACAGCAGGGATTTCAGCCATCCTGTCCCTGCAGGTGTGTTTGGCACCGGGGGAAGTGCTGGTGGTTGCATCCTGCTCCACGGGTGGCTGTGTTTCAGGGATGCTGTGTAGATATTGTTGGTGAAGCTCTTTAGGACAAGGCACTGCAGAAACGTAAAAGAAGCTTCAAGAAGCTTCTTGTAGTCTTCCTGATCTCTCAGTAATAAGTCCTCCCATCCTCCTCCTGTGCGTTGCTTTGCAGACTAGCATTTTATCTCCAAGGGCTCTGGCTGCCATTATCAACGGTAGGAACACAGCACTCCGGTTCCTTTTGCTTTCCTTTGCAAAGCCAGGAGATAAGATCAGGCAGCTTGCAACCATGCAACATCTGAAACCCAAGCTCATCACAGAATAAGGTGCTGCAGCTCTATTTTATGGCATAAGCTTTAGTCTTTTTATTTCTCCTTATGCTATCTTCCTGATTTCCCAATTCCTGTAAGAATCAATCCTCCATCTTCCAGCTCGACTTATCTCCCCTGCTCTCCTTCTGTGCTCCCTCCCATCCCCTGCCTTGTCTGAGGTCCCACAGGGACTGATTGCAAGCCGGAGCGGCGGTGCTGTGGGCATGCTTGCTCCTTCACACGCAGCAACGTCACAGCAGCAGCAGCAGCAGTAGCATTGGAGATGTGATTGCGCAGACCCTCTGCATTGCCACGGATGCAGCTGTGGAAAAAAAAAAATTTAAAAAAAATTTTTACTCTTGTGTTTCCCACAGCATCCTGGTGAGAGAGCACAGAGCCTGCTGGAATCCGAGTGCTCAGCAGTGCCGGAGCAGAGCGTGTCCAGTGAGGGGAGACGGGGAACGGAGGATCTGTGGAAAGGTGAGATGCAGAAATGATCGGGGTGGGCGTTAGTCATACTGATGGTTTTCAGGCCATTCGTTGTCCTGCAAAGTGGCCGGTTTGTTTTTGTAGAGATTGCCAGCTACCCGATGAAGCTGAAAAGATTTTAGGATTGTTTTGTCGCTTCAGAGGCTGCATTGCTTTGGAGCTGCTGTGATTATAATGGATGTAAGCGAGTGAGGAGGCTGGTATTGCTGTGCAGAATGTGTGTTTGTCCATTGTAGCTATGAAATAGCAGTTGTCATGTCCGGGGCTGGTTGTGCAGAGGCGAGCTGTGCTTCGCCCCAACAATGCCGTCGCACAGCTCTCCATTGTGCCTGCCATGACAGCCAAGCCCACACGGATTGTTTTGGTCCCACCAGCTACCATGCTCTCTGCATCCCTGGCGGTGATGCTGCTGTGCAGCTCAAAAGCTGTTTTGACAGACAGCGCTTCCATGAAAAGCCAGAAACAAAGGACGCAGACAGAGGAAAGTTTTTTTCTTTTTTTCTTTTTTTCTTTTTTTCTTTTTTTCTTTTTTTCTTTTTTTCTTTTTTTCTTTTTTTCTTTTTTTCTTTTTTTCTTTTTTTCTTTTTTTCCTTCTTTCTTTTTTTTTTTTTTTTCCTAAATACTGGTAAATCAATTGCTCAAAAGGCATTAGAGTAAAATATTGTGGCAGGTAAAACCTCACTCTTCTGCTAAGAGACACATGGGCTCTGTGCAGGCTGGAGTCTTTGTGTTGCCCAGGGTGTGTCTGTGCTGGCTGTGTAAATGGATGCTTTCTCCCTGCCTCTTTTTACAGATCGGATGCGAAAGGTTATCTAGGAATGGAGGCATTACTATTTTTAATTACTGAAATGAGGGGTCTAGGCTGGGTACCAGTTACTAGAGCTTAATTACATGGTCTTGTCATAGCCAAATCCCTCTTTTCCCTCCCTGCCTTCCTTCTTCTTCCCTCCCCCACCCTCTGCACAAATCCTTCCATCAAATTGCCTCTGCAAACACGAAGGGAGAAGGGGTTGAACAAAGAGAAGGGTATATGTGGGATAGGGGTACAGATGCCGGAGAGGCAATGTTCAGGACGACAGTCAGTGAGAACAATAAGGCAAAGGTATAAAGGAATGAGATTTCCGTATGTGTGGTACAGTGATGTGGCTGTAGGGGTATACATGGGAATGTAGTAACAAAAGGGGATAAGCAAATAGCAGATGCAATCTTTTGGGGTTATGGAAGATGCTGACCATGTGGGGCTGCAATTGCAGGTGTTTTGGGGGAATGTGGTGTTAATGGGAGTTACATTAGCATTGGCTGTTGAGGAACAGATCATACGGGGACTGGATTGATGGGTGTCGTAAAGGTGTATGGAGTATGGGGGAAGTAGAGATCTGCTTTTTTACCTCCAAACACCTACAGCCTCATATACCGGTGTTGCTAAAGAGCGAGCTTGGCAGGTCTAGCCTATTCACAAAAACTTTCTGCAGTTTTCCAGTGACTCAAGAATAATTCAGATAAAGCATCTTTAGGCCTGTCAGGAGCAAACAGGATGGTAGGAAAAATGTAGATAAAACGGTAAATGTTTGGCAGAGCTGTAGAGGAACCGTGGAGCAGAAGAGGCAGGTGTGAGGGGCATTGCAGAGCTGGAGGAACAGGGGGTTGTGGGTCAGAGACCAGCGGTAGAGGGCATGGGGGAGGAAATTCAGGGATGTCATTGTCAGGGAATGTAAATGTGTTGTTTGTACTGTCATTCCCCAGCCTCTCACTGTGTTCTCTGAGATGGTCAGTGCTGTGTGCAGCCCCAAGGGGTTTGTGGAGGTAGGAGCGATCCTCAGCACAGCCTGCAGCAGTTTTCTGAAGGAACCATTTTGCTGCTGCAGGTTCTTAGTTGGTTGTTCCCTCTCCATCCTGATGGAGTGGCAAGGCTCTCTGGCCTTTACACCCAGTGAAGAAGATAAACCCAGAGTTTCAGTGCAGGGTGCCAGGTGGGAAGGAGAGGGCGTCTAGCAAAACCACGGAGCAGAGTGCATTCTGCTCGCAGCTCTGTGACAGTGTCCTGGAAGCACCATAGGGCTTCCTGAACTGCAGCTCCCTATCTTGCCCTGGGACGTGGGAGCCCTCTCGGTGTCTCCAGGTCTCTGTCCCATTCAGCCCGATGGGAGCAGGGAGCGGGATTTGCTCCTATAGGTGTGTACCAGACTGCGTTTGTGGTGCTGCTGCAGAACAGGCTCCTGCAGGAGCTTGGTGGTGGGTAACAACAGCACGTGTGTGTTTGTAGGTGCATTGTGGGCTGGAGGACAGGACATGCAACAGGACATACCTATGCAGGATACACATACTTGTGTCGGGGTGTGGAAGAAAAATTGTGTATAGTTTGTGTGTACGATTCTTGCCTAAAGGAATAAAAAGAAGGTGATGCAGCCTCCTTTGCTGTGTGGGACGGGAACGCTCCCCAGGACATACAGGCTGTGCCTAGCTAGTAGGTGCCACTCTTACAAGAGCATCTGTTAAGCAGTGAGAGTGCACAGATAATCTCTGCCTTGAGATGCTTAAAAGATGGGCAAGAGCTTCTGGTTACTGGAGCTGACCAAAATCATTCACAGGAAGGAGATATAATTGCTGCTGTGTGTCTTCCTCGCTGCACTGATGCAGAATGCTGGAGCTAAAATGCAGCTGGCTTTCTGGATCCAAGGGACCTGGACCTGCATTGCAGAAAGTGCAGGTAGCCCAGGAGAATATGCTGTGGACTTGGGAATGCCCTGCCCACGGCTCCATTGCCGCCTCTCAGGTGTCTGAGGATGTGATAGCAAACAAAAAATTAGTTCTCTGTCCCAGAGATCTTCATTTTCTTTCAGTCTGATGCTCCTGGTGAGTCAAGATCTCATGCTGGTATTATTCCTGATAGCCAGACAGTAGCCCACCTTTTGCAAACCCATGTTGTGCTTTGCCCCAGTTTTCATTTATTTCCCAGTCTTACTATTATTTTCCAATGTTTTCTGAAAGCCTTATGTAGTACTAAGGGCAGGTTGATAAATCTAATGTGGGAAATCACTTTCCTTTGTCTTTCGAAACAGGTGCAGACTTCACCTTTATTATTTGCCAGCCACACAGCTTCCCCTCCTTCCTCTCTTTCCTCACAGGTATTTTTATCAAAAGCCATGTTGCCAGCTGCGATCATGCAACTATTCTTTCGTTGTTCTGATATCAAGATATTCTTGATCCCTCTGACTTGAGTGCATTAACCTTCTTGAATTTGTTTCCACTTCAAAAGCTCATTTCCTTTTCTGCACCCTCCTTCCTCTGTATTATCTAACCTGTCGTCGCCACAGCTTCAATATTACTCTTCTTGCCAAAACAGCACCAAAGATGCTGTTTTACTTACCTCTAATATCCTTGGTGTGGTTATTCATTCAGGTTGGTCAGGAGCCCTGCTCTTCTAATTTCCTCACCTTGCTTGGTGATTCCAGATGGTTTTTTTTCACTTAGATGTACATTCAAAGTCTTTTCTGCAGTACGTCTCCAAGCTCTTTGTTCTTTTTGGCTTTGTAACTGTTCTCCCTGATACGCCAGAGATCTGCTCTTTAAAAATTAAAAAGGTTTAATTACAGAGCTATTTGCTTTTTACCCTTCTGTTTAATATAAACTGGGTCAACTTGAGATATGCAGACCAAAGCCACTTCTATGGTCATAGATGCTGGGTGATACCTTATCTCAGTAGGCACAGTTCTGATGATTAAACCCAAGAAAAGCAAACCAAAACTGAGAGATGCGGAGATCTGTGCCGGGGGGTTGAGAGGTGGAGGATTGGAGGTGGAGGTGCCTCCCTGTCAGCTGTGGAATTGCAGGGCAGTACTGGATGAGAAGGTTTTGTCCCCATGTTTGATGGAAGCCATTGCAGTCCAACCGGTAGTGGGAAATCTCACTTGTCTGCTACCTGTGCTGCTTCGTGGGAAGAGTCCTGATGTGGATAAAGTGCTTCTGGCAGTCCAGTCTGTAAGTCCAAAAGAGCCAAAAGTCCACCCCCTTCCAGAGCTATGTGAAAGGCTGCAGGATAAGGCTTGAAGGAGCTGAGGGAGCTTGGCTGGCAGGGGGTGAAATCCATAGCAATGATCAATGACAATTGTGTTGGTAACTAGCCTTAGCAGGGATTTGTTGGGTTATCTGCTGAGCAGGTTCGATGCATGCCCTAGCACTCATCTGAAAGCTGGTTACTCTCCAAAGAGAAAGAAACAGGCTGTCAAAATGGCTCTAGTCCCTGATTCTGCTCCAGTTTTCTCTCTTGATGAAAATGATTTTAATGTTCATTTTCTGAAAGAAGTGGATCAAAGCAGGGACATACCTGTTAAGATGAGCGCAAGAGCAAGCACGTCCACAAACTCTTCCTCTCCCCACCGCAGTCGTGTTGCAGCCTCAGGGTCATGTAGACAATGTTTTTTTGTTTCCTACTGGGCTGCTGGTGGTTATATCGGAGGCAGAGCTATAATGTAGGTGAGTGGCCATAATGTAGGTGATGGCAGCTTCTGGCTGAGGCTCACCCCCTGAGTTTGCTGGGAGAGAGACTGTGTGTTGGCCTTTGTGCAGTGCTGAGGGTGTGGGGCTGGCAGTACCTTTGAGTGATAAGTAATAAATATTTGAGTGATAGCAGCAATGGTTTGTACTGACACTTGGCATGTGATGGGGAACTGGAACAACCACCAAACCTGCTCTCTGCTCCAGCGCAAGATGTTCCCTGGAAGCAGGGACCATGTGTCACTGCCCTGTTGTGCTTTTTGGGCCAGTAGCACAGATATCAGAGTGATAAGAGCTAGCAGTTCCTTCTGGCAAGAGGGGATTTTCTCCTCTGGGAGTTACAGGACAAAAACCCAGAGCCTGTAGGGAAGACCTTAGCAAATATACAGCAGATTTTAACCGGATACTTCCTGGGGACCCACTGTCACCTCTGTGACTAGACTGTGCTCTGTTCTTGAAGGGTGGGACACATGGACAAGAGATGGGTACTGGACTGG